TGGAAGAAGGCTTTGGACAGAACAGGGTCTAGGTTCTGTGGGAGGGAACAGAGTTTGGGAGAGATCATGGCCAGCTGTCAACCACATCCCCAGGTTGAGTACCAGAGCCCGCAGCCTAGCACCTCGGGGTACTCCCTCCTGGAGATGGTGGATGATGAAGTGCCAGGAACATCAGGTGAGGGGACTAGAGGAAGAAGAGATGGGAGATGATTGACTAAGAAGAAGGAAGGGGGCTGGGCACAGCGATTCACACCTCTAATCCCAGAACTTTGGGAGGCCGAGGCGGGCAAATCACCCAAGGTCAGGAGTTTGAGATCTGCCTGCCCAACATGGAGAAACCCTATCTCTACTAAAAATACAAAATTAGCTGGGCAGTAGTGGTGCATGCCTATAATCTCAACTACTCGGGAGGCTGAGGCAGAAGAATCACTTGAGCCTGGGAGGTGACGGTTGCAGTGAGCCAAGGTTGTGCCACTGCACTCCAGTCTGGGTCAGAGAGTGAGACGCTGTCTCAAAAAAAAAAAAAAAAAAAAAAAAAAAGGAGCACTTGAGGAGGGTGTGTGGAAAGAAAGGAGGGACTCAGGCCAGGTGCAGTGGCTCACACCTGTAATCCCAGCACTTTGGGAGGCCGAAGCAAGCAGATCACTTGAGACCAGGAGTTTAAGACCTGCCTGGCCAACATGGCAAAACACCCATCTCTACCAAAAATACAAAAATTAGCTGGGCATTATGGCAGGCACCTATAATCCCAGCTACTTGGGAGGCTGAGGCAGGAGAATCACTGGAACCCGGGAGACGGAGGTTGCAGTGAGCAAGATCGTACCACTACACTCCAGCCTGGTCGACAAAGCAAGATTCTGTTTTAAAAAAAAAAAAGGCTGGGGGAAGTCGGGGACACACAGAGCCAGAGACCAGGGAAGGAAATGAGGACATGTTCTGAGGACAGAGAGATGGAATAGTGGGGAGGAGAAGGAGAGGCACATTGGGTTCAGCAAAGAAGAAAGAAAGATCACTTGCAGAAGCCAACAGTCTGCGAGGCTGGGGAGGATGGAGAGTGGTTTGGGGTTTTGAGTTGGGGTCTAAGGTGATCAATTGTAGAAGCATTACATGATGGCCTGATTTCTTTACTCAGCCCCTTGGGTAGATCTCAGCCCCCCACATAGGTCCTTTTGTTGGAAAGGAAGGACTGAGTGGTCAGACGAATCTGAGGAGGAGCCGGAGGAGGAGCCAGAGAAGTCGCGCACCCCTGAGCCTGAGGAGACCTGGGTGGTGGAGACGCTCCACGGGCTCAAGATGAAGCTGAAGCGACGGCGAGTGTCGCCCGTGCTCCCTGAACACCACGAGGCCTTCAACAGGCTGCTCGGTAGGACACCCCAGAGAGCACCTCCAATCCCATTCTTTTAAACAGGAGGAAACTTCCCATAACCATACTTTTCCCATGGGAGAAACATGTCCCCCCCCCCCCGCCCACCCAACCCCACCCCAGTGGTGAGCTCTCCATTCGGGAGGACTCAGAAGAGATCGCTCATAAGGGACGTTTAGGAGGCAATCGAGGATTTGGCTAGACTTGATAAAGGTCTGCGATTGGGATAAGAAAGCTGGGTTTGAGGCCAGTTGCAGCGGCTCATGCCTGAGATCCCAGCACATTAGGACACTGAGGCAAGATGATCATTTGAACTCAGGATTTTGTGGCTGTAGTGAGTTATGACCACTGAACTCCAACTTGGGTGACAGAGCAAAACCCTGTCTCAGAAGAAAAACAAAGGCCGGGCACAGTAGCTCATGCCTGTAATCCCAGCACTTTGGGAGGCTGAGGCAGGTGGATCACCTGAAGTCAGGAGTTTGAGACCAGCCTGACCAATATAGCGAAACCCTGTCTCTACTAAAAATATAAAAATTAGCCAGACATGGTGACACACATTTATACTCCCAGCTACTCCAGAGGCTGAGACAGGAGAATCACTTGAACCCAGGAGGCAGAAGTTGGAAGTGAGCTGAGATTGTGCCACTGCTTTTCAGCCTCGGTGACAGAACAAGACTCTGTCTCCAATAAATAAATAGAAATAAAATAAAGAAAAACAAAATCAGAAAACAAAGAAAGCAGTTTCAGCTGTGCCTTCTGAAACTTAATGTCTCTTCCTGACTTTTTTTTTTCTTTCGAGACAGAGTCTTGCTCTGTCACCCAGGCTGGAGTGCCTGGTGCAATCTCGACTCACTGCAACCTCTGCCTCCCAAGTTCAATAATTCTCCTGCCTCAGCCTCCTGAGTAGCTGGGATTGCAGGCTCATGACACCACACTTGGCTAAATTTTTGTATCCTTAGTAGAGAAGGGGTTTCACCATGTTGGCCAGCCTGGTCTCGAACTCCTGACCTTGTGATCCGCCCGCCTCGGCCTCCCGAAGTGCTGGCATTATAGATGTGAGTCACCACACCCAGCCTCATGCTGACTTTTCTAACCCTAACTGTCTTCATCCGTAGAGGGGGATAACAAGGCCATGGTCACACCCTGATGTAACTGTCTCATGAGAAAATGATGGGAATTACTTTATGACTCTGCAGTGGTCCCTGCATGTCTGTGGAGAGAGCATCCTGGCTTCTTCCCAGCTCTCCATCCTGTAGATTCACACACCCAGGGCCTCCTTCAGCCTCTTTTCGGGGCAGTCTCAGAGCAGGAGACTCTCTCCCTTACCCAGTGAAAGTCATTCTCTCCTATCCCATCCACCTCACCCGTGGCCACAATCCTGAGACTTTCCCCAGGAAGGCACAGCTCTCCTTGCTGCCCTGTTGCTCCCACAGAAACTCTGTTCTACTTCTCGTACTAGCCTCTGCTCTCTAATCACAGAGGATCCTGTTGTTAAAAGATTCCTGGCCTGGGACAAAGATCTGAGGATATCGGACAACGTACGGTTGTTCTCCAGGGAACTGCGTTCCTGCTCCAACACACAGCCTGGGGGAGGGTGCAGCTTCCACATGCACAGTTCCACTCCTCTCTCCCTCCACAGTCTCCCACCTGATGCTCCCAGTGTTTAGGGTTTTTGTTCTTTTTTTGTTTTTTGTTTGTTTGTTTGTTTGTTTTCTGAGACAGGGTCTCACTCTGTTGCCCAGGCTGAGGGCAGTATCATGATCTTGGCTCACTGCAGCCCCAACCTCCCAGGTTCAAGCAATTCTTCTGCCTCAGCCTCCCAAGTAGCTGGGATTACAGGTGTGCACCACCACGCCTGGCTAATTTTTGTGTTTTCAATAGAGACAGGGTTTTGCCATGTTGGCCAGGCTGGTCTTGAACCCCTGACCTCAGGTGATCTGCCATCCTTGGCCTCCCAAAGTGCTGGGATTATAGATGTGAGCCACTGTCCCAGGCCAGCTCCCATGGTCTTCAGTCTTGGTGCCCACCTTTTTTTTTTTTATTTTTGAGACACAGCCTAGCTCTGCCCCCCAGGATAGAGTGCAGTGGCATGATCATAGCTCACTGCAGCCTCTAATTCCTGAGCTCAAGCAATCCTCCTGCCAAAGCCTCCTGAGTAACTAGGACTACAGGCACATGCCACCATGCTCAACTAATTTTTGTAGAAACAGGATCTCACTATCTTGCCCAGGTTGTTCTTGAACTGTTGGGCTCACATGATCCTCCTGTCTCGGCTTCTTAAAGTACTGGGGTCACAGGCTTGAGCCATTACTCCTGGCTATTCTCGGTCTTATTATGATTTGTCAGCATCTCCCTGGGGACTCTGTTGGTCTCTTGCAGAGTGAGTGAGTGGCCCTTGCCTCTCCTACGGGTCCTTTGGGATCTGAGCCTTGGGCCACAGTCCAGCTGCAGCCCTGAAGTTCCTGGCCCCTCTACTCTCAGCTCTTTGGGACAGCTATCTGCCTGGCACACAAAGACCCTCCTGACACTAGGCAACCTGGATGTATTCCCTTCAAAGATCCCATCGGAGCTCACCATTCTGGGAGCACCACCAACATCCCTTTCTCTAGCTTCTTGGATTTGCAATACCCCTCAACCCCGCAATTTCCAAATAAGCACAGTCACCTCATCACTGAGGTCCCTTCTCTGATGGGCAACCCCTCCCCAGTCCCCCATTCCCTCATCTCCATGATCTTCCTCTTCCAAGATGTGACCTCTCCCTCTCTTTGTTCCTTTCTCTCCCTCAGTACCTCCTGGCAATGGTCATAGCGTATTTTAGCCGCGCCGGCCTCTTCTCCTGGCAATACCAATGCATTCATTTCTTCCTGGCTCTGTGAGTGGTTTGCTTCCTCCTATCCATCAATATCCAACACCCTGGGACAGCAGGGGAAGTGGGATTCAAAACTTCCATTTATTCTTTCACCTATTTGTCCTCTTTACTCTGTATATAAAAAAGAAAGGATTATACTACTCTATGTGTTATAGTTATTATACTATTATACTAAAGGCATTCTTAGACTGTTCCATCTAAAAACAAACTCAGGCTGGCTGAGGTGTAATCCTGGAATCCCAGCATGCCTGTAATCCCAGCACTTTGGGAGGCCAAGGTGGGAAGATCACCTGAGGTCAGGAGTTCGAGACCAGCCTGGCCAACATGGCAAAACTCTGTCTCTACTTAAAAAATACAAAAATTAGCAAGGCATGGTGGTGTGCACCTGTAATCCCAGCTACTCAGGAGGCTGAGGCAAGAGAATGGCTTGAACCCGGGAGGCGGAGGTTTCAGTAAGCTAAGATTGAGCCACTGCTCTACAGCCTAGGTGACAGACTGAGACTTTTTCTCAAAAACAAACAAGCAAACAAAAAAAACTCAAAAGCCAGTTTACAAATAAAAGAATAAAACAAAAGGAAGCGTAATCCCCTCCTAAGGGAAGAGGAAAAGGAGCGGACACAACGCTCCCCCCAGCAATAGCCATTTCTGGTTCTTCTGTCTCTCTCCTTCACACATCAACCCCAAATGCAATTGTTCATCGTCCTCCTCTGGGTTCCCATGACAGAGGCCACAGTTCAGGTCCCCTCACATCACTCAAATCCACTGTCAAGTGCTCCCTGCTCGGGCCTCCTGGAGCCTGTCCCCAAGCCAGGGGGCTTCCTAGTGCAGCCTGAACATCTCTCCAAAGCCCAGGTCCGACCCCCCACTGCCCACCTGAACAGCTTCCTTGGCGGATGTCTTTCTAAATCGAGGCCCGGTCCACAGTGCCAGTTCCACCCTCTCTGCAACCTCTCTACAGCCAAACCGGTTTGCCCTCTTGGTGTTTCCTGGCTCGATTTCACCGCTCCTTCCAAATGTCCAACACTCAACTTTGCATTTGTGTTTTCCATCTGGGGTCCTGCACACGTGGTTTTGAAGAGAATGACCCATTCCTTGAAGTCAGTTCTCCCCACAGTCTCTGTGGTGCCTGCCCTCATCTTCCCACCTCTGCACGCCCACAGCACTCCAGTTACATCCTATTATAATGTGACATTGAGATTAGGTGATCTGCACTGATTTCTCCCAGTCCCATTAGACTAGATGCTTGTAGAAGGCAGGGTTTGACAAAATGTCAATGTATCCTATTTTTTTATTATTATTATTTTTTGAGACAGAGGCTTGCTGTGTTCCCCAAGTTGGAGTGCAGTGATGAGATCATAGCTCACTGCAGCCTCCATGTCCTGGGCTCAAGCCATCCTCCCACCTCAGCCTCCTGATTAGGTCAGACTACAGGGCTGTGCCACCACGTCTGGACAGTTACTTATTTATTCATTTGTTCAATTTATTTCAAAAAATTTTTTTGAGATGAAGTCTCACTCTGTTGCCCAGGCTGGAGAGCAATGGCATGATCTCAGTTCATTGCAACCTCTGTCTCCTCGGTTCAAGCAGTTCTCCTGCCCAGCCTCCAGAGTAGCTGGGACTACAGGCACATGCCACCATGCCCAGCTAATTTTTTGTATTTTTAGTAGAGATGGAGTTTCACCATGTTAAACAGAATGGTCTCAATCGCCTGACCTTGTGATCCGCCTGCCTTGGCTTTCCAAAGTGTGGGGATTACAGGTGTGAGCCACTGCACCTGGCCTATTTATTTATTTATTGAGACAGAGTCTTGCTCTGTCTCCCAGGCTGGAATGCAGTGACCTGATCTCGGCTCACTGCAATCTCCGCCTCCTGGGTTCGGGCAATTCTTGTGCCTCAGCCTCTTGAATAGCTAGGACTAAGGCTTGTGCCACTGCACCAGGCTGATTTTGTATTTTCAGAAGAGATGGGGTTTCACCATATTAACCAGACCGCTCTCAAACTTCTGGCCTCAAGTGATCCACACACTTCAGCCTCCCAAAGTGCTAGGATTCCAGGGGTAAGCCACGGTGCCCCACCAGTTTTTTAATATTTTTAATAGAGACAAGGGTCTTGCTATGTAGTTCAGGCTTGTCTCAAACTCCTGACCTCAAGCAATCCTCCCATCTCGGCCTCCCAAAGTGCTGGGATTCCAGGCTTGAGCCACCACTCTCGGCCACCAGTTGGGTTTTTGTCTCCACCCTGAGGGTGATCTCTGTCTAGAAAGGCCCTCCTGAGGAAGGAATGGCTCTCTGCAGGGTGAGTGTCAGCCCTGAGCTGAGGACGGTCCCCTGCCCTCCTCTCTGAGAAGCTGACCTCAGCTGGAGGTCTCTCCTGGTGGTGCCCCTGAGCAGCAACCCGATTTCTGTCCCAAGCTACCTGGCCAATGACATGGAGGAGGATAACCAGGCCCCCAAACAAGACACCTTCTACTTCCTATATGGGAAGAACCGCTCCCAGCGACTCTTGTTCCATAAGCTTCGACTCCAGTTCATTTGTTCCATGCGCTGGAGGACTCGGGTTTCCCTGGGGGAGTTGGAGGAGGTGGGTGGAGCATGGGAGGTGGAGGAGGTGGGAAGGAATCAGGAGGGTTG